TTCTGATTTTTTCATAGAAAGGCGTGATTAATGACAATAATCATTTTCAATCAATGAAACAATAATAAATGTTTGAACATTTCTTAAGAAAGTCAGTCGAAAATATGTCTAATGGAAAGAAAAACTATTCAAATGAATTTTTGATTAAATTTTTAATTTAAAAATTACATGCAGAGAGTTTACTGATATATTTTCGAACCCACATCCAACCAACAAGATAAAGTACGTACAATTACAAAATAATTATGTGTGAAAAGCAAATCAAAACTAATTTCATTAACAACAAATAAAAAATTCAATAAAACAAAAGCTTATCATAAAAAGATTTAAGATGAAAGTGTCTAATAATTGTTCCAAATAATGGCAGATTTTCATATTTTCATGCGTGATTTTGAAATTTTTCACTATCTGCGATAATTGTGTTAAATTCCGAAATTTCTAGAAACTCGGTTTAATCTCCGGAACCTTACTATTCAAATATAGCCACATGATATATCATTTAAAAGGTATTTTGCGAGTCTTTTTTCCCATTTATTTTTGTTCCGTTTTCAAAATTCGACTTTTTACCATTTTGAAATCTATCGGAAAATTTACTCATTTTAGGCGATTCTGTATAATGTAGAACATCTCCATTCAAAACTAGCAGGCTACTAGCTAATCAGTTATAAACATGAACGTATAACTAAATTTTGAACAAAGAAAATGGAAAATTATTAATTATCCGAAAACTGTTACATATTGAAGAAAATTCTCATTTGAAATAGCTCAAAAAGTTGATCATACTTTTTGATATCAGCCAAATTTTCCGAACAATACAAAAGACAATTGCTAAATTTATTTGGATCGGCGAAAACTAACAATGTATCAGTAATGCCAACATTTCCTTATCGATGGTTCACTTTCTAAAAAGGCCAATTAGTGATCTCTGGAATGATGCAAAAATGAGCGTTCTTGCTCATTTTACTTCCGAGAAATGAACAAAAATGGGACGGAAAACATGAAATTTTGGCATAAGCTTGCACCTAAGTGTCTGATGTTCAAATTTCTCCTTCTTGGTTAAAACTAGTCGCATTCCCTCATGTTGTTACGCCTAAATTGAATTTTCAATTCTCTATCGAACGATACCAATGCCATGTCATGACCAACCATGTCACCATGGTTATAATAGGGGTCATGAACCCCCTTATGCTGGGTTTATGTCGACCAAAGATAATTTTCTAATTTCGTAGACAACAAACGACTGAATTTCCACCACATGACCCCCTTCTGACTTGAAAACTGGATCGACCCCTGTAGTTGTCTTTTTACATCCTCTATTGAGTGACTAAAATGCTCAATATGGGAACGAAACATTTTAATTCAACATACATAGGTGTCAAAATTTGTATAGGTGTTAAAATTCTTGGCGGGGTGTTTAGCATGAACTTGCTAAACCCACTCGGTAGCTAGTGTTAAAAGTGTGGTAAAACTCTGGGATAACTGACACATTTCAACCAGCCACCAGCCTTATAAATGGGGACCTTTGCAGGTATAAATAAGAAGAATTAGGCTTTAAGTTATAATGGAATTGCTAATAGACCCTAATCAAATATCGATTACATGGCATCTCTGGCACCTGTCTGCTTATGAATCTCTTAACAGCTCTTTCTGTATTTTAAATTTAAATTTTAGTCTTTAGATATATTATTTAGCTTGATGGGTTTAATGTTTTTATTTCTGCTTGCTGGATAAATAAGCCAATGTAACCACATTTAAACATTTCCCAACTTTTCGAAGCAGGTAGACAGGGTGGCTCGGTAAACGTGTGCATAATTTTGGATGCGGCTACCAGGGTTCAAAACAGCAAAATTCAAATTAAAAATATTTACAGGAAAGTACCTGAAATATTTTTTGACTACCGCCATAAAAATCGGAACAATTTAATTAGTTAACAAACTAGTATATGGGTAGGATTAATGCTAGAAAAATGTTTGAGTCCCAGCGAATTTTTGGTTTCCTCTTGTTTCACTTCAAAGTACACTTTAAATTAAGCAGTTTCAGCGAATAAAAATCCTGGATGGTCCATAAATTAAGACAAAAAAAAACACTCACAAAGTCTAAGGGAAATCAGTATTGTCGGGCGGTGTTGCGAAACTGCGTTCTTTCAATTTGGATCGGTTTAGATTATTTAGGTCTTTCAGGTTATTAATTTTTACTTTTTGTAATTTTTTTCAGTTTTATTAAAAAAATCACTTCAACCATGCTAACAAAAACGTTTGTTTAGCTGAACTTGAGTTGTTAGTTTGTTTTAAACAAACTTATTTGTTAGCAACTCAAAATTAAACGAAAAAAAAAACTTCACAAAAATATGTTGCAACACCGCATTGTGTGTTGAATTTCCGAAAGAGACTAGCAAATCCGCTATGTGAATAGTGACACGCTAGACAACCTCAATCAATGGGCGCTAGAAAAGATGCTCAAACTTTTGAGAAAAACGCAATTATTATGCATCTTAGCGACAATTTTGCATGTGGAGTTCTGAATTGTTGATATCTAAAACAAGATTTAGCAGCAATTAGCACCGTACACTCTCATTTTCCTGCATAAACAAATGGTTTTTTGAAAAAAATGGAAAACTTTTTTTTGGCTGAAAGTGCTTAATTTGAAGTGTTATTTAAGGTAAAAAAATACAAATACGGGAGGACTCAAACTACACGATCACCGCCCATTTTAACTATAGGGAATCAATATAATTTTTAATTAAATATGAAATTGCTAAAAAATACTAAAATATTTTTAATACTAATGCAACACGCAGTTTGGATTTCAACAACAGTTTGGAGTTCCTCAAATTGTGGAAAATTTTGAAGAAATAAATTAGTTCGGTGAAATTATTATACAAATTAGGTTAGCGAAGCTTATGAGTTGAAAAATTATAATCACGGGACGTACTAGATAGTTTCCTGTTAATTTTAATGGTTTAATAGCTGCATATTTACTTTCTGACTAAAAACTACGACTTAAAAATACCTAGTGAAACTTATGCCAATTTTCGTTATTACGAAAAGATTAGAACAAACCTTTTATTATTGCAAGATAACTGACTAAGGAAAATGTTTCTTAAGCAGTGCCTAGTGAAAATTGCCAATTCCTACTATAAAACTACTTTGGATTTCCACCAGGATATAAATAGATGTCAATGTCCCCTAAAAAAATTCCCTTTGAAACTAAATTTGATGTGAGTTCGTCGAGGTACATATTAATGTTAGTTGTGTTAGTGTACATATTAATCATATCCCTACATTTAAATTGCTTGATTATTAATTTAAACAGTAGGTCTCCGTTGACATACATAAAGAAATGAACCGTTTTTTTTTTTTTTGCAAAATACATTTTACATTACCCGCACTCTTAAACAGAAAAATATCACTCTGAAATTCTTACCCTAAAAACAGGTATTGAATTAAGTGAATTTTGTGTGAAGTTTATTCTTGAATATGGTTTTTGTTGAAAATAATTATCTGAAGTTGTAAGAGCATCTGAGCAATATTTTCCTAAATCACTGCATCGGCAGAGGAAGGAAGGTTTGGCTCTCCCGTTCTCTCTACTCAAATCAATAGGATTTTGATCTCTGAAGGCACTTGAAAATTTTGAATTATTTCGCTCCTAGCAAAGATTGGCAAATGTTTCAAATCTTTATGTTTTACTCCGATCAAATAATATAACCATGCTGGGATTTTGGGCCGGGTGCAACAATCCTCAACTGGTGTTGAGCCACTTTTGAAGATTTTAATTAAACAATAGGCATTCAATTTTCATGTCGGTTTCGATAAGGTTTATTTAATTAACATTTAATTCAAATAGGCGTTTACAGGAAAACCGTTTAATTTGTCGACGGCAAGAGTATTTTGAGCATTCCTGTGCACTAGTTGGTTAATCCCTGGTGAACTCAACAGCACAATGAGTAACAAAGATCTCTCAAAAAAATTAAATGCAAATTTATGCACCAGTATGCCACAATCATCAACTCAGTCTTGGTTATATCATCCTGTAGGTATATACATATGTCCGAAAGCACGTCCAATTTTTTTGGGACATCCGGTACTTATATTTTTATATATTTTCCTTTTCAGCAAAACCAAAAATTTCCTTTTTGATAAATTAGAAAGGTGAAGTTAAGCATTTGGAAAAATAGAGTAGGTGACTTAAAACAAATAATATTCGGAAGCATGATTAATTGAACGCAAAATTAATCAAAGAAAGTATTTAAAAGTACACATTGAATTTAAAAGTGTGCACCTAAGACGTTTCACTCTATTGAAATTTACAGCCGTGTTTGGATATTAGCTAATAGATGTCTGGGTTTAAAGCCCAAAAGCCGGAATTTACATTGTTTTTTTTTTCAATTGTCTGATGAAGATTGAAATTTGCATTTACCGCCCAAATCAGCAGAAAATGTCTGTGGGAAAACATGTGTTAAAAAAATCAATTATTTGGTATGATTTTGGAATCGTCCGGTCATAGAGTCCAATTAGTGTACACATTCAATAATGGAAGAAAATATTTGTCTCAAAATTTTAAAATCATTCCGAAAGTTTTTCGGAAGCCGCGAAATAAACGGCAAACTAAAAGTTTCAAAAAAATTCAACGTCTTATTCATTAGTAAACACCAGGAACAGATATATTGAAATATAAAGAAATTATTAAACAAAAATCAAATACTAATGAAGGCTATGAAAAGCAACTCCCGATAATTAAGTTAGCATATTATCTGTGCACGTTATCTGTTGGAACTGGGCAACAGAAGATAATATTCCGCTAATCTCCATCAGATCAATTTTGCCGTGTTCATTGGAACAATACAGTCGACTAACGAGCATCCGTAGAAAAAACTCATCAGGTAAAGCGTAGCAGCTGGTTATGCCAATTTATTTTTCTGCTTCAACAATAGACGGACAAAAAACTATGCAAAAACCATGAGAACTCAAAACCCTGTAATGTCAAGAACAAAAGGGCCCATCAGTTGGATGTCATGGGTCGGTCTATGCAGATTCTTCCGTAATTGATATCGGTGCTTCGTGGATATGCAAATGGGGTCTTTTTTTCAAATCTGGTTCCGGGTAAGTCTAATTATTATGTTGCCGATAGGGTAGCAGAGGAATCCGTTGACGCTGTATGGGAATCGCTGTTACAAGAACGACAGATCGAAATTTGCATAAGGCGATCCACGGGTTGTCGTATTGTTCAAGTGCATTGTCGAAACACGCTTTTTCTTGCAACTGAAACGACTGTTAAATGTACGTTCAATCCAGTGTTAATGAATGATATTTTGGCAGGCTAACGGGCGCCTGAAACAAATGTGACTTTTTATTTGGTACTGAAGAAAAAAAATTGCGATTGATTCGTTAGAGAAGTTCGTTCAATATCGCGATGCCTTGAGACTATTCCAAGTCTTTCTGGTTTTCTACGGGTACTCTTTTAGATCCAATGAAACGATCATTTGCATACCTAACAAGGCATTTTTGCCGGAAGAAAAAACCGATTTCTACCTACTGCAGCATCCGGTTACGTGAGAGCACATCACGAACTCCATAATTTCGATCCCTTTTAATTCTAGAGCGTATGCAAATAAGCCCTTTACCAAGAACAAAACGGTTGACGGCAACAAAAAAAAGCGACAAAAACACTGTAGGCCAGGGGGGCAACTGCTGATGGGTCCGATGTCGATTATAAGGGTACCGAAATTTATTAGTAGAGTTCTCGCCGTGCTATTAAAGGTGTGAATTCACATTTCCTACTAGGAAATTGGTGGTGATTTGGTATGGTGTTGTGGGAAAATTTGTGGAAAATCAGAAAATGTGAAATTGTGTTTAAGTGCGGATCAACATTGCCTAGAGCCGAGATCATTTAAGTCTTCAGCTCTCTGTTTGGATGAAATGGTACTTTGACTAGAAAACTTTTGGATCAGTTTAGTTCGCTTGATTGATAGGATTTTTCCATACTCGAAACATGTATTTGGCCAAAAACAGTTGGACAATGTGTATTTATCACTTCTTTTGTGCTATAATAGCCACTATTCATTTGCAAAGTTATTCAAACATGCTTACATGTTTGTACATTTAACGATTGTGATACATTGGAGAATATTATGAGAATTATAATGAATGTCAAACAATATTTATTTTTGAAAATACTGCTTAGCTTGGGCCAATTTCATTCAAAATAAGCCACTACTTTTTTCTGCTTGTTCATATTGTAGTCCTAAATGCCGTCCTTTATGTAGATGAGCTTATTGTTACATGTTTATAAAACGTTGTGGTAAGAATTTTGTATCAAATTGATATTGTTTAAACTTAATTAAAATTATTTCAATTTTGCAATGATTTGTTTTAGTTGAATTCTTGCGAATCATTGGTTTTTTTGAAACGTATTGCCATTAATCCGAAGATTTAGCATTCAATATCTGCAGCAAATTAACATGAGAGGCAAAATATTTTTAAAGTTTAAAGCCCATCAGATACGAAACGAAAGCTGTAATATATTTTGAAAATGTTTTTAAATGATATAAATGTAAGTAGAGCAACAAAACCTTTTGCTCTAATTTTAAATTAATATTTTTAATTAGCAAAAACCTAGTCTTGTGCATTAAGTAATACAAGTTAACGCTTGTAATAGATTCAGTTATCCTATTGTTCATTACTGTGGCATCCGGCAGGTTTGGCTCGCATAATTTTCTCATCTCCAACTCTTTAACCGTTTTAATTGTCACACTTTAATGCTTTACAATTGCTTCAACTTTAATTTTCAAGAAAACACTTTTTTTTTCCGGTCTATTAGTTTTGCCTTAATAATTTTTTTCCCTTAATAAAACAGGCTGCTTTAGAACTTGCAGGGTTTCTCTGTAATTTGTCCACCTTGATCACGGTCAAGTACTTTTACAAGATCTAACGACTTTTTAATAACAACCATACCCATTGGGTTCACACAAATTACTCGCCATCCGTCAGTCGATTCGAATCAGAAAAACTGGTCGGGCAAATTCCCATTTTATTAGCGGCAAAGCTTTTGCTATCGGAGTGGAAATTTTCCATAAAACAAAAATCAATTCCCAGGTTGATGGCTGGCGATTATAAAATTTGCCTAAAATAATTATAATTCGGGGAGTTTGCAAGTTTTGAGCGCCGGCAAAGTGGAGTTTAAGTAGTGCGCGACGTGTTTCTTGGGACGCGAGGTGAATTTCGCTTTCAACTAACAACAAAAGCACCTGAACAGCTCGAGCAGTAAGATTAAATAAAAAAATAATACTTCAACTTCCAACGTTTGAATATTAACTAACAGATATTGCAGTTATTAACATAGAATTAAAGAAAGTTGAACATTTAAATTAAAGTTCAGGAAACGTGAGCTTGCACTATTAGTTTATAGCTAATTTTAGAAATGTTACTACTTCCGTTTATATTAAAAATTGGATTAATTATTGCATTTAAACTAATCGAATTAGTACTTTTTAATGTTTGCCTACATTTACTTTGCGTTTTAAACATTTGCTAATAATAAAATTTGCGTGGTTAATGAAATGCAGCAACATTCTCTCATCTATTTACTGAATACAAAATTCACATATTTTCAAGGCAAAATTACATTATGATCAAACCAAAATAATTAATATTCTGCAGTGCCGCCATAGCTATTCAAATAAGCGCATAAAAACATTCATTTGTTACATTTAGACTCCCATTTAAACACAAATGGTTGCTCCAAATATTTATTTACAATTTATTCAAAGCTATAATAAAGTATTTTTTCTTTAATTCTACCCTTTCAAATACCTTTCGAGTAAACTGATAATAAATTAATTACAGTTTTAACAATCTGCTAGTCGATCATATCGTAATGGAAATGGCACGAATGTAAGTCTCTTCCGAATGAAAAGCGGCAATTAAAAGTCGGGAATTTCGTTAAGAGCTCTTATAATTGATCTGTTTAATGGGCTTATAAAGCACTAATTAAGTATGACTTACTGGGGCAGTTTAAAGGACAAGTCATCGGAAAAGTCGAGCAAAAGCAATTTGAAATAAAGCGGTTTTCGTCGAGTAAATGGGTTCTTAATATTACAACTTGTTGCCGATGCTTAATTTTTGCTTTTTCGGTTGGTTGGTTGATCAGTTTCTTTCTGATAGAATAAAATTCCACACCATCTTGAAATTTTTTGCCAGCTCGGCTTTGCATTAAATTTTCTTTCCATATAAAGTTTTATCCCCAATCCAATAAAACATTGAAAATTCCTATCTGCGCTCCCTCGCATCTTAAAGAAATTCCGTATTTACCACACGAAAAAGCCATCTAATAATAACGTTAAACCCCCTGGAGCGCCGACTAACGAACGAATACATATAGGACAGATCTTCCTGCTTTTACAGGGTGGTCCAAATGCATGTCGAATTTGGGCATATTATGTCAAAAACAGTGATTCTCCCAGATCGACTGAACTGCCTAATTTGAACTTGGAAAACTAATTCTACTAATTACATTATTTTTAATAGGATGTTGAAGGTTTTCGCTTTTTACAAATGCTTAATTGTATGCAATTTCAAACGGTGTTTTGCGTTATTTTAAACCGGTTTTAGGTGTTTATGAATCTAGCGGAATATGCCAAAACAGGAATTTAATTCATTCGAATTCAATTTGTCAAGTGAAGCATGGCGAATATTTAACGAGTGAAATTGGCGAATTAGAATGCCAAAAGCAATCACGATAATATAGCACTTCATTGTTAAGTAAAAAAGTATACGGAATTTTCCATTCCTGTAAGCGTCACGTCCTGTATAGCCTCTTGAACTTTCCCTGTGATTTTGCATATAGAAAGCTCACGAGCAGCAATCGTTAAAAAGGGGGCCCTGAGCGGCGGCAGGAGGCCCTTTCGTTTTTCCCGTTTTTCATCCTGCACATGAGATTTGCAGAACTGATAAATCGTTATGTAAGGAGGGAACTTTAATCTTTTGAAAAAAGGAACGGAGAGGAAAGCTCTTTCCGATTTTATTAAATTATTTTCTGCCTTTATAACTAGACCTGCCTGAGTGGCGCTGGAAACGTTAGCTGGTAATTGGATCGGACTGGATAGTTCTTGATAAAACATTTTTCTTTTTCGATTGATTGTCATATGCACTGTATTAGCTAAATGTAGAAAAAGATTTTCTGGTGCGTATTTTAAGCGCTGAATTAAAAAATGTTTGGTTAATTTCTTAGTTTTAAATAACAATAGAAACGTTTTGTTTGACAATTTTAATCTCTAAAATTACAATCAACAGTGCAGTTTCGTGGAAACAGTTTGATACGTTTTGCCCAGCATTAAAATACGGAGTTTTGCGAAACGTATATAACTAACACCCGAATTATATGAGTGACAAGACAAGGACATCTCAAACGGAAAACAAATCTTTAATTAATAAACTTTAAAGAATGAACAACAGCACAATAGTGTCAGATATATAACAATCAGATACTTGTGTTTTTCGTGCCCATAAGAAATGTAGAAAAACTTCGGAAAATGGCAAATAAAAGGAAAAAATTAATGTGTTGTAAGATGTAAGATTTTTGAGTAGAAATAATCTAGTGAGTCGAAAATATTATATGCATTAGACGATTTATTTAGTTATTTGGGTTTTCATTGCTTCCGTCGGATGTATTTTCAACCTTTGACCACAAGATTTAAATTTTTGCAACCTTTTACAGAAACTGAATCGTTATTTACAACCAACATATTAATAATTAAATTTATAATGAACGCTTAAAACATTCGCAATTATTTGTTTGTATTTTTGATATGTTCCGAAAATAAGATTTGAACATTCGGGCAGACCATTCTTAGACTTTTTACATTTTTAACATCTATACATAAGTATCTTGTTTTCATTATTCTGCTTAAATTTTACTAATGTTATTACACATATACATTATAAATGATTTGTCATTTTTTTGTGGCCTCAATCTAAGTTTTTCCATCTTAGCATAGTAAAAGCTTTGCTACAAAGCCTTGCGTTTAGGCATTTAAGTTGTCTTCATGCGGCCCTACTGAGGCACCTTGAATTTAATAGCTCATCTAAAAGCTCGCTAGTTTTCTATTATTAATTGCAGTATTTTAATTAATACTACAAAGTATTAATTATTGTTAAACACCGTTAGATTTCTGGTATATAGTTTAACAAATATACTTTTGATGGTTTATTGAAGGACTGTATAATTTTCTATCGTTTAGTTTTATTAGTCCATGTTTCTTTATTATCTGCTTCGCAATTTTTTTCGCAAGTGCATTGTAAAAATTGGCCATTTATCTGAATGGAGTGAAAGCCTTGAACAAATATTTACAAAGTGTGTCTCAAACTCTACTTTTATTTTTTATGTAAGAACTTACAAAAATTAAAGAAAAATGGTTCGCACAAATGCTTGGGGAAGCCACACTTTGGAAATATGGAAATGAAGTGCGAAGTTCCATTTCAAAAGATCATAAATTTGCTTCATGGCACACATTTTGAGCTTTAGCTTTTCCATTAATAAGACAATACAATCAGGGGGATTTCTAGAAAACTAACAATAGTAATATACAAACAGGCTAATAATAATCCATATAATGACATATTCTAGACATTGACTGACATTCATATGACATTGACTAGGTGACATATTCCATGTAAGCACTGTCTTCAAAATTGAAAATACAAGTAGCAGCAATATTTCAAAAATGAGACTTTATGACAAAATTGCAAAAACAAAAAACGTAATTTACAAACTTGCCAATGTGATACGTTTTATACAGGGTGTCCCAAAGGGAACCACTATATATACATATAGTGGCAAACTATGACTAAAAACGAGAGTCTTAATAAATTGTTTAGCTAAATTTGTAGGCTAAATTAATACAAATTTTCTTACAAAATAGCCATTTCTTCGATCTTTGACCCCGGTCAAAATGCCGTGTTTTCTTAGTGTGTGGTGTTAAATACGACCTGTTGTATTCCGTTAATTCGTGTTTAAATTTATTGAGATTGCTATGTGTTAAATTTTTTTTTTGGTTGAGGTTTTGGCACGCTCAGTTACGACTGAGATGAATTGTGTCAAACTGATTGCTTTTGACGATATTAGAAGAATATGTGCATTTTAGAACACACCCTGAAAATGTGTGATAGCAAATCATTTTCGACTCAGGTTTTTCAGAAACAGATTGAACAAAGACCTAAAGGGCAGATGGTAGGTGGTCTGCAAAAAAGTGTAAAATTTACACAACACTTAGGAAGAATAGAGCTTAGAGGCAGCTATTAAGTTACATACATGTACATGTATGCTAGGAGGTATGTTTGAAGAATTTTTTGGCCAACGGGCCAAG